TGAGAGGCAGAGGCAGGCAGATCTCTGTGAGTTTGAGTCCAGCCTAGTCAACAAAGTGAGTTCCAGGACAGCCAGGGCTGTTACCAGAGAGAGAAACCCTGTCTCAAAAACCAAACAAATGAAAAGAAATGGTGGGAAGTCCTCCCTCCTTCCTGGCTGCTCTTACCGAATCTCCATCCTGTCAACAGCCAACATCATCACCGCAACTGGCCAGCTCTGTGAACTGTTCGACTCTTAATGGATTCCCTGGGCCACTTCCCACTACTCATTCGTTTAACTGCCTACAGTTTGCAGACATGCAAGCATGAGTGAGGTTCAGCATATTTATTTTTTATTGCTCTTCTAACAAGTAATTCCCACTACAGGGGTTGAACAACACATGTCAGCTACCCTACAGTTCTGTGGCTCTGAAGTTCAAGGTCTCAGGGGCTTAAATTTAAGGTGCCAGCACTTCCTTTCTGGAGAGGAGGATGGGGATTACTTCACTCCTCAGTCTTGTCGACTGTCACTGACAGTTGCCCTCAGCTCTGAGTGGCCACTGTGTCCATTGTGCATCCTTCTTCCACCTTTAAAGCCAGAGACAGTGGAGTAAGTCCTTGCAATGTGGCATCTTTCTTACCCCTCTTTATAATCAAGGCCAAGAACATTTTGATTTTTTTACCAAATCATGTGACTAGATTGGGACCTCATGGACAACCCAGGATAGTCTCCCTATACACATCTACAAAGCCCCTGTGACGGCTAATCTTGGTTGTCAATGTGATGGACCTGGGAAAGAGAAACCTCAATGGAGGAACTGCCTCCATCAGAATGGCCTATGGCATGTCTGTAGGTCTTTTTTTTAATTAAAAATTTTATTATTATTATTATTATTATTATTTTGGTTTTTTTTTTTTTTTCGAGACAGGGTTTCCCTGTGTAGCTTTGTGCCTTTCCTGGAACTCGCTTTGTAGACCAGGCTGGCCTCGAACTCACAAAGATCCTCCTGCCTCTGCCTCCCAAGTGCTGGGATTAAAGGCGTGCACCACCACCGCCCGGCTTATTATTATTATTATTATTATTGCTAATTGATGTAGGAGGATCCAGCCCTGTGAGTCATACCATCCTGAGGCAGGTGGGCTTAGGCTGCATTAAAAAAAAAAATTGATGAATGTGAGCCTAGGATGGGAACAAGCCAGTAAGCAGCATTTCTCCATGGTTTCTGTGTTAAACTCCTGCCCTGCCCTGCTGTGTGATGAGGGACCTATAAGCAGAAATGAACTCTTTCCACCTCAGGTTGCTTTGGTTATGGTGTTTATCACAGCAGCAGAAAAGCAACTCAGAACAGTCCCTTTGCCAAATAATGTGGAATGTCACAGGTCCTGGGGACTACAGACCAGGCATCTTTTGAGTATGTATGGGGCGGCAGTCTGCCACAAGAGGAGAGGCTGCTGTGCAATTTGAATTCTGAATTGTTCTTTCTCAGAGACTTAGAGGAAGCAGGAGACTGGCATGTGCTGTTGAGGGCTACTTTCTTTGCACAGATATATTAGCATAGTCTAATTTTCTTTTCAGAATATTAAATTTGGAGGGTCAGGTAAGAATGGATCACACCTCTATATAACAATTGCTAATACATTCTTTAAATCAATTTAAGGATAAAAGCAGATAGAAAATAAATGGGGCACCGGGCAGTGGTGGCGCATGCCTTTAATCCCAGCACTCGGGAGGCAGAGGCAGGCGGATCTCTGTGAGTTCAAGGCCAGCCTGGTCTACAGAGTGAGTTCCAGGACAGGCATCAAAACTACACAGAGAAACCCTGTCTCAAAAAAATCGGAAAAAAAAAAGAAAGAAAAAAAAAGAAAGAAAATGGGGCACAAGTTAGAGGATTTTAGAAAACATCTAAAAATCATCTTAATTTAGTACTTAAAAAATTTAGAGACAGGTGTGGTGTTTCATGTCTGTAATCTCAATACTTGGAAGGATCAGGAGAACCTAGAAGAGAGGACAGACAGCCTGGGGCACATAGCAAGAAACTCTAAAACAACAACAACAAAAGAAAACAACGTTGCTGAAGTATTCATTTTGAGACAATTATAGATTTAAATGCAATTTAAGAAATAATACCTATCTTTGTTAGGGTTTCTGTTGCTGTGAAGAGTCACCAATGACCAAGGCAACTCTTACAAAAGAAAGCATTTGATTGGGGCTGGCTTACCTTTTCAGAGGTTTGGTCCATTCTCATTACGGCAGGAAGTCTGGCAGCGTGCAGGCAGACATGATGCTGGAGAGGAGCTCAGAGCTCTACCTCTGGATCTGCAGGCAGCAGCAAGAGCAGGACACTGGGCCTGGCTTGGGCATTTCAGACCTCAAAGCCCACCCCCAGTGACATTCCTCCTCCAGCAAGACCACACCTCCTAATGGCGCCATTTTCATTCAGACCCCCACAATACCTACGCCCAGTTTCTCCCAATGGCAACAGTTCCTTGTAAACACAATACAGTATCAAAACCAGGGAACTGGTCTGATAGCTACAATCCGCCTTACTCAGACTTCTTCCTTATAGAATCACTCTCTCATGTATATACACGTATCTACGTAGGGTTCTCATAGAGGTTTGAGTGGGTACCATCACAGTCAAGGTGCAAACAATTCAGTGTTTTTGGAGATAGGGCCTTGCTATGTTATGCCACCCAGCTGGCCTCCAATAGATGTGTACGACCACCAACGGCTGGATTTAGCAATTTTTAAATACATTTATTGGAGAGAGGGAGGGAGGGTGGGAAGAGAGAGGGCTTGGGTTATAAGTGGCCGTGAGCTGCCCGGTGTGGGTACTGGGAATTAAACTCAGGGCCTCTGGAAGAACGGCACATGCTCTTAACCTCGGAGCCATATCTCCAGACCCTGAGTGAATTTTAAAAACTATATTATTTGATGAAAGGATCCCACAGTGAAAAGCCATTGGCTTAGCCCAGTACTTTCATTTTGGAAAGAAGAAACTTGTGTGCTCTAGCACATGCATCACGGGAGCACTCAAGCCACTAGTGACCAGCATTGGCAAAGTTAACCAGCCAACAACACAAAACACATAGTAAAACTAAGCCTTCCCACTTGCCCTTCAATTCAGGAAACATAATGATTTAGTCTATTTTTCCATCTTAAGTATTTTGTTTAGAAGCGAACTGATGGGATATTAAGGAGTACTTGGTTCACATGCCTGGTGCACAGCAGGGAGTCACTCGGTGCCTGTTGAAAATACAGAGTTTCAACAACTGATGAACATCTGTACCTACAGAGTTCATGGCATGGATGCTTAGATCCTTCAATCGTTGGAAACAGTTTCAAGGTAAATTTAGAATTAAAAAGGACAGTGAAGAGAAGACAGCGTCCAGCCCTTCACTGATTTATGAAACCAGAGGTGGGTGGATATTCTGTGGACCTTCGTACTAGAGGTATTTTGGAAAAAGACAACCACAGCCTCATAGGATGTTGCGGGGAGAACAGGACATGTCTTGCTTGCAGAAACATTGGAGGAAGTGCCTAGGAAAGAATTATCCTGTAGCTCTAAAACAGAACCAACGGCAAAGGGACATTTTACACTCAACTTACAGGAAGTCTTTCATCACAAGGTAGCACCAAGACCTTGCAGAGCAGTAGGCTACTGGCATCTCCAGTCTAAGGCTAGTAGAAGATTTTGAGGAGTTTTTGCACCAGGAGGCAGTTGAACTTTAGGATTTCATTTTTAAATAGAATTTACATGTTACCGTTGGGCAGGAGCCATGATAACCTCTTTATTATTTCAGTTTTAGTGTGTGTTCCTGAAGTGAGTACGGACCTTGTGATTTCTTTTCAAGACTGGTACTGTGTATGTAGCCTTAGGTGGCCTGGAACCATGTCAACCAGGCTGGCATCAAATTCACAGAGATTTACCCACCTCTGCCTCCTGAGTGCTGGGATTGGATCTTATGATTTCCAAGGTCTCTTCTAACCACTAATGGTACCTTAAGTCCTGGTCTGCCTTCCTGTGTTTGAAAACAGATTCACACAAGAAATTACCTGCTTCTGAGAAAACTGTTGGTATGTTTTTCAGCCAGTATTTACTGAGCCCCTATTATATTGCAATAGAGATACAACAATGGGCAGAGATACATATCTTGCCTATACTGATAAAAATGGGAGAGAAAATATAATAGAGGATGGTGTAATATGAACTGCATTAGTGAACTCCTGGGCTGCCGTGGGCAGACAGTTCTGCTGGGAATTCTCTCAATTGTAAACCTCCCCTGTCATGTCTGCTGGATGCTGCAAGCTCCCACACGGATGTCTCCCTGCTCACTACTTGTTCTCTTCTGTTTGCTAAATACCTAAATCCACTTATTCGGAACTGAATGGTTATCACAGATGATTCTCCCAATAGATAATGTGTGTTTATATATTTCTAAATCCCAGGTTAATGTTTCTTATGTAATTAGAAATACTGTAAAAAATGAAATATGAAACTTATTTGTTTATTGATTGATTGATTGGTTGATTGATTGATTGATTGGTTTTTTTGAGACAGGGTTTCTCTGTGTAGCTTTGGAGCCTTTCCTGGAACTCACTCTGTAGCCCAGGCTGGCCTCAAACTCACAGAGATCCACCTGCCTCTGCCTCCCAAGTGCTGGGATTAAAGGCGTATGCCACTACTGCCCAGCCCAAGAAACTTATTTTTTGAAGTTAAATTTCAGTGTATGTGTATGGGTGTTCTGCCTGCATGTATGCCTGTGTACCATATGCATACTTAGTACCCAGAGGTCAGAAGAGAGGGTTGGATCCTCTGAAACTAGAGTTACAAATGGTTGTGTGCTCCATGTGGTTGCTGGGAATTGAACCTGGGTCCTCTGGAAGAATAGCCAGTGCTCTTACCTGCTGAGTCATCTCACCAGCCCCCTGAAACCTAACTTTTAAAGAAGTAGTGTAATCCGTTAGACTGAGTCTGGACAATGACATAAGAAATTATATTCAATAATATACTAATGACAGAAAAGAGAACAAATTATTTAGTTTTATTAAAAATTTCCAGTTTATAACCAAAATATACAGCCACTACATTTAAAATCAGTTTTTACACTCACAGTTAAAGTGCTAAGAAAAACATTTACAAAACTGACATCAGTCTACTGTAAACAAAATAAATCTACAACAGTAGAGTGCAAAGCACATCCAGCTACTGTGAAGTACAGTCCATGCTCTAACTGGGTGTGCTCGCCCTACACAGACCCCAACAACAGCGACTGTCCATTCATCTGGACATCAACAGTTTCAGCCAACGCATGGAGAAGAAACATGAAGAACTAATGCCACAAGATACAAGTCTTCATCACAAACACTTTCTAACTAGATGTTTATGTGATAAAACAAGATTAGTTTTAGAATTTAGAATCACCTCAGCAATTTAATTCAGAATACCATTTTAAAAACTAAATTGCTAAGTACCAGTTATTTAAAAATAAGCTTGGGAATAATGAAAAAGGAGTATTTTTCCTGCCTTCATATCCCTTGGAAAACTGCTAACAGAAAATAGGGAAAGTCTTTTTTTGAGCAGGCATGGACAGTGTTCATCTGTAAATTTCTCATCATTGAGCAGAGCTGCCCAAGTTGATGTGTGTTGTTAATGCAGATTTCTCTTGAAGCAGTAAGATTATACTCACTAATAATTTAGTATGAATTGTCTAAGTTTCCTTATTCCTGACACTTGAAGTGGGTCATACTTTAGACATGTTGATTGGAACAGCTGGGACTAGGAGAGAAGTAGAAAGATTTCAGGCTGTGTATTTGGGGACAGGTCAGATAGAGTGGGGCTCACCCAGGGCATCACCTGAGTGGATCATCTGGACAGAAGTGTACCAAGTCTCTACTGAAATCAAAGTACCTTTCTCTAGCATAAGAATGCACCATAAGGCACCCAGGCAACTCTAGAGTATGGTGGGTACTGAACAACAATTTCTACCAGAAATCTTAATTATTCACAACGATATGGGGCAATTCAGTCTGAGTTTGGAACAACCTAATTTTGTACCTTTTGGATCATAAAATTAGGGATTTCCTGTGTGAGAGTTTCAAATTCTTGCATGTGTGTTTATATTCATATACTTTTGTTCTTATAACCAGAAATGTAAGTATAAAGAAAATATTTAAATGAGAGCTTATGGAAAATGTATTGACTGTATAGCATGGTATTCATTATTTCAGAGTGTCTATCAGGGGCATAAAACTTAGTAGTTAGCAAAAATAGAGTACATATCACTCTGGGGGATTATTCTGCCTCCAAATGGTATTTATTGATTATTCCTTTGACATTATGACAGTATGTCAGCTTAGAAAAGCTTGAAAACCAAACAGAGACCTAGTGAAGTTTATGTAACTTAAACATTCTCCAAGGCATTTGCTTCAAATTGATAAAATATCTTTAAGAACATGAATTCAACAACAAGACAAAGCTGCAGCTCTTGAGACGACCTAAGAACTTATACAGTCTCCTACTGTGACAGCCCGCAAGGGTAGGGATGAAAAGAACCTGTCTCTTTAAATACCTTGTTGTTTGGTTGTTCCTTTAATATACATCACGAAATTGCTAACATGTGGTTATTTTTTCACCCCCAAGCCAGTAACTTCACGTTTAGAAGAATACTTTCCAACTATTCAGACAGCAAGGACCTTAGACGGACGGCTGTCAGGAAATCCCTCATCAACAAGGGCTGTCTGCTGAGACAAGAGAGTAAGAGCCAGCTCATGAAACAAATATGGGGTCTAGAGATTCCGTACCACAGAAAACGAAAGAACCGCTAACCACAGATAACTCTTCCTCTTAGCAATCCTCCAAACTGACCATCAGATTAAAATTTCACAAAGTCTCGCCCTGTTTTGGAGACAGGGTCTTGTCATGTGGCTCAGGCTTGCCGTGAACTCCTTGCCATCCTCTGGCCTTAATTAGCTTCCTAAATGCTGGGATTATAGACATGTACCAACATGCTGGGCTTGAGAACAATAATTTCTTAATTTAAAATTTTAATTTTTAAGAATTAGATTTTTCCCAAAACTACACAGAGAAACCCTGTCTCGGGGGAAAAAAAAAGAATTAGATTTTATAATAGTTCCTACAAACAAAATGAGCGAATGTGATGAACTTTTCTTTGGAAGATGAGGAGGGGAGAAAGTTTGGTGACAATGGTATCTTTAAATTAATGAAACAAAATTTCACACTTCAGTGAGAAAATAAAACTCAAAAACAAAATCCAGAAGTTGGAAATAAAAGCAGAAAAGTTGGTATTGAAGTTGGTATTAAAAGTTGGTAAAACTAGAGATACAGTTCAGTGGCAGAAGGCTTGGATAGTGTATGAAAGGCCCAGTTCAATCATTTGCAACACACAGTCAGATACATCAAAAATGAAGGAAGGGAGAGAGGGAGGAAGGGAAAAATAAAAATAAAAGTTAAGCACGTGAAAAGTCTTACACGATGGGTAGTTCATGCCTGCAATCTTGGCACTCAGGAGACCCAGGCAGGAGGACTGCAAGCTTTAGGCTAGCCTGGACTACATGGCAAGTTCAAGGCCTTGATACTTGATACAAAAGACCAAACTGAGTCAGAGGACTTGCCTAGTATATGCAAGGCCCTAGTAGCAGACAATGCCCTCGTTCTAGTGGAAATAATAAAACAAACATAAAACATGAGAAGCTGGATAGTTTGGGGAAGGTGGAATACTATAAAAAGAGAAACGATAAAGAATTCAGATTTATTCCAATTCATGGCTAAGATATACAAGAAATGATACTCACTGACAAGAGAATTTCCAGATGCTGAACACCTTTCTCCTCTCTACTTGGCTTTTGAGACACAGTCTTACTATGTAGCTCCCGTTGGCCTAGATTTTATCACGCAGCACAGGATGGCCTTAAATTTATAACCCTTCTATCTTAGCCTCTCAAAGACTGGGACTCCAGGTTGTGTTACCACACTGAGCTTAGACAAACACTTCACACTAGAGAGTCCTTTTTATTATTTAAACAATTTCACATTTACATTATTTTTAAGGCATATTCATCTCAGCTCAATGTAAAAACCGTGTTGATGTTCTCTTACAAAAAAAAAGATTTCATATTCAATGTTTCTGCTGACAGGATTAGTTCTGGGAAATGATCTGAGACAGGGCTGAGGGAAGCTATTTGCCAGCTTTCCAAAACTGAGGGTGGAAGGAACAGCTAAGCAATCAGAAAAATCTAAGATGGATAACTCTAAATCACTCTAGGGCCACTTGGTTTTTCTTACATATCTTCCTTCTCATTATCAATCCTCCACATATTCACTAAAACTGGACTTCAGATTCACTGTGTGCAACAACAAGGACTTGGAGAGAAGGAAAACTGAAAATAAATGTGTTGTTTTTAGAGACAATTTAAAAATTATAACAGTCATGGTTAATGGCAGGATACATTTGAGAAATGTGTTGCTAGGCAACTGGGTCACTCTGCAGCATCGAAGCATGCACTCACCAAATCACATGCCTATTTTGTTACTAAGTGATATGACCCTAGGGACCACTGCTGTAGGGCAGGAGGTCTAAAACAGGTCTTAAACTTGTGATCCTCCTGCCTTGGGCTGCCTTGTGGTTCTTAACTAAAAATAACTAAATTGTCATTATGCACCATATGGCCATACAGGAATCTCTGAGTGAGAGGCTGAGCATCTAATTTAATTACTGGAAGTCAGTGAAAGACCTAAGACAAGGAATCAAGTATGGCTAAGGAAATCCTACCAGAAGCTGAGGATGAATATAGCTCAGTGGTAGATGACTGCCTAGCATATGAGAGGCCTTTCTTTTCATTTCTTTTTTTTAAATTTTTTTAAAGATTTATTTATAGCCGGGCGGTGGTGGCGCACGCCTTTAATCCCAGCACTCGGGAGGCAGAGCCAGGCGGATCTCTGTGAGTTCAAGGCCAGCCTGGGCTACCAAGTGAGTCCCAGGAAAGGCACAAAGCTACACAGAGAAACCCTGTCTCGAAAAACAAAAAAACAACAACAACAAAAAGATTTATTTATTATGTATACAGCATGTATGACTGCAGGCCAGAAGAGGGCACCAGATCTCATTACAGGTGGTTGTGAGCCACCATGTGGTTGCTGGGAATTGAACTCAGGACCTCTGGAAGAGCAGCCAGTGCTCTTAACCTCTGAGCCATCTCTCCAGCCCAAGAGAGGCCTTTCTTGTTCACCAGAACCAAAATGGGGTGGGAGGTGGGGGGCTACAAAGTTGACATAGTTAGGAAAGAAAAGAAAAGAAACTAGAAACCAGTACGCCAACCTAGACCTACTTTCTAATGTTAGGTACTCACCAGACTTCAAGCCCAACTGTACACGGCAAATCTACAGTACAAAGCATTCAAGACATTATATGAACTGATACGGGCAGTCAGAGCAAAGAAAAACAATCTTTAAAAGTAAATAGGTGGGTTGGAGGGATGGCTCAGTGGTCAGGAGCACAGGTTGATCTTTCAGAGGACTGGGGTAAGATTCCCCAGAGTGGTTCACAACCCTCCGTAACTCCACTTTCAGAGATCTGGGGACCCTCTTCTGGATCCTTGAGTACCAGGCATCCAAGTAGTGCACAAACACAGATGCAGGCAAAACATCCACACACATAAAATAGAACTAAAAAAAAGTCCCTGGAATTTCCTTGATCCAGTTCTTGGAAAGCATCACTAATTGACAAGATGTTGACAGGATGGAGCTACTGGAATCTCTATGTTTTATTAAATAATACTTAAAATTTTTGTTATATTTATTGATAGCGTGTATGTGTGTTCATGTCTACACACACACACACATACACACACACACACACACACACACACATGTACCTACACTCTACACACACATGTACACTACAGCTCACATGTAGAGGTCAGAGGACAAATTGTGGGCGTCTGTTCCCTCTTTCCACCATATGGATCTCAGATGGAACTCAACGTCAGGCTTGGCAGCAAGTGCTTGTACCTGCTGAGTCATCTCACTGGCCCTATTAGAAATAATTAAGGAATCTTTATGGTAATATTTTCTGCCAAGCCAGGACAAATTAACAATAACAAATCACGATTATCTCTAACAATATTTTGTGAGTTGTGTTTTCAAGGCTGGCAATGAACCCAGGGTCCTGTCTATTGCTGAGCTAAATCCCAACCCTGTTAGTACTTTAAATCAGGCCATCACTTTTCTGTGGCAACCTGACAGCTACACTTATTCAATGAATGTGAGGAGGCAGTTAAAAAGTAATGACTACAGGGAAAAATTCTATTCGATTTCTCTATGTTCTTTTAGATTTTATAATCAAGTTGAGTGGTGGTGGTATACACCTTTAATCCCAGTACTCAGGAGGCAGAGGCAGGTGGGACTCTGAGTTCGAGACCAGCCTGGTCTACAAAGAGAGAGAGAAAGTTCCAGGACATCTAGGGCTACACGGAGAAATCCTGCCTTAAAAAACAAAACAAACAACAAAAATAATACTAGATTTTTATAGTCATCTGAATGTTGGTTAAACCTGACAGTCTTTTAATTAGCAAAGGAGCCAGTGCTGTAACTGATCTGTTCACTCATTTTATTTTGAACGCATTGGGGAGGAGCTCTCTCAATGAACTACACTACAGAACTACAGAATGCATCTGGAAAGAGGTCTTAACTAAATACCAATATTCATAACTAAGAGAACAAAGACCACAAACTATGTCATTTCTTTTATGTTTATCAACTTAATATGCTTATGCTGATGTTTAAGGAGGGTTTTTTTCATTAATAAATCCATGTCTGGCATTTGTAACTTCTTTCACTTTTATTATATGTAACACAATTTCCCTCTTTTAAAAATCACTTCAGCTGGGGTGTGGTGGCACAGCTGACATCCCAGCACTTGGCTGGCAGAGGTAGGAGAACTACAAGTTCAGAGCCAGCCTGGGATATAGACCTACGACTTGGAGATCAGCACATGAATGGGGTTGGAAATGGAGCTCAGAGGCAGAACGCTTTTCTAGCATTGGGGGTCCAGGAGTCTAAGCCCTCGCACTGCAGCAACAGAACCAAACAGAACTACAAATGCCTCTCATGACATCCACCTTAAGTTCAAGGTGCCTTAGCTGTGTAAGCTGATTAAGTACACATAGTTTATGGGAAGAGAACGCAAGTGAGCTCACAGCAGTGACTATCAAATGGTCAAGGGAGAAGCAAGTGAGAGTTCAGGGGAATATGAGACTCCTAATCTAACCCCTACATTCCCTTCAACTGCAAACAAAAATGCTCGGTCTGAAGTTACACAGCTCATTGAAAAGGGAGGCAAGACTAGATATCAGCTTTCCTGACTCAAAATCCTAGGATATTTTAAAATAACAATGCATTCTTACTAGTTATTAAATAAAACCTGGCCAAAACAAAACCACTGAGTTCTAAATTTTGAAAAGCCAGTTAGCATAAAACAAAGAAACATCTGCAATTTACAAATACGAGCAAGCTTGCTTAGATATTTATCTGCTTCAGGAAATATAACAAGCTTGAAAAAAAGACCTTAAAAATACTAATTCAATAGTGAGTGGTAATGAGCAGACTAACAGAACACAGAACCTTAATTAATTCATTAATTTATCTTTTAAACAAGGTCTTCCTATGCAGCCCTCTATGCCCTAGAGCTCACTATGTAGACCAGGCTGGTCTGAACCTCACAGAGCTCCTCCTGCATCTACTCCCAAGTGCTGAGATTAAATGTGTACGCCACCACACCTGGCAAATTTTAAACTTTTGAATTATTAAAAAGCAAAAAACTTTTTTAACCAAGGGAAAATGATGTAGTGGTTAATAAAACTAGCATAAATTATGAACAATTCTACCATACCAACAAAAATATCCATGAAAAGGACAAGATAGGTTTCTAGGTGGCTATTTAAATAAAAGCCAAAGATAAGTATCCTTCAATACATTTAAATAGATTGAACTTAATGGATTTTGTACTGGCTTGGTCTTTGACCAAAATATTAGTGAAAAACTAAAAAAAAAAACAACTTCATATCCAGATTTTCTACTTAGAGAACACAGGAATAAACACATTGACATACACTGTTTTTTGTAGGCCAACCAAACAGCCCTGTCTATTAAGATGGTTGGCTCTACGCAGACTTTTAACATTGTCTTTTCCCAGAAGATTTGGATATCGAAAGAAAAGTATTATCCTGTACCAGTTTAGTTATTAAATAAAGATAAACAGGGTTAGAATTAGAGGAAGCAATTATAGTCTGGTGGACCAGTGAGGGACGTCTGGTTTTCCTAAGCTTTTCCCAGTACTGACATGACTTGAACAACAAAAAAATGAAAAAGAAGAAAAATTATGAAGAGATGCACAAATGCCAATGCATTTCCATAAATAATCAAATTTATGTAAAGGTATATAGACTTTAGGCTATATAGTTGAGTTAAATAAATGTTTTTCATATTTAAAAAAAATTACTTTAAGATGGGCAGTGGTGGTACACACTTTTTTTTTTTTTTGGTTTTTCGAGACAGGGTTTCTCTGTGTAGCTTTGCGCCTTTCCTGGACTCACTTGGTAGCCCAGGCTGGCCTCGAACTCACAGAGATCTGCCTGGCTGTGCCTCCTGAGTGCTGGGATTAAAGGCGTGCGCCACCACTGCCCGGCCTGTGGTACACACTTTTAATCCCAGCACTCGGGAGGCAGAGGCAGGCGGATCTCTGTGAGTTCGAGGCCAGCCTGGTCTACAAAGAGAGCTTCAGATACTCAAGTCAGGGATATACAGAGAAACTCTGTCTTGGAGAAAAATTTACTTTATTTTGAATTTATGTGTACATGTGCATCTGCTACAGTGCACTGGTGTCAGAGGAGGCCAGAGGAAAGCCTCAGATCCCCTGGAGCTGGAGTTACATGCAGCAAGGGTACTAGGAACTGATCTTGGGTCCTTTGGAAGAGCAGCAAGCACACTTAACCAATGAACCATTTCTCCAAGCCCAGGCTTTTTGCATTTTAATTGGCCACAAAAAGGCATAAAAGAAGTTTAAAAGAATCATGAGTTTATTTTTAAAGCTAGGTTCTAGAAAACTTCTGTCCCCCGTGTTTTTATGTGAAATAAAAAATTCCTACTTTACACAGATTTAAAAAAACGTAATCACAAACATATACATAAACAATTCTCAGGGTCTAAGTTGAGGGCTATGTAGTCAGTTGTTCATTAAACATTTTACTGAAAAGCTATGCTACACTAAGCCCTGTGCTAATCATTATTCACCAACTGTCTCTGAAACAAATTACTGTTTTGAGCTGACTATTGCCTTGGATCTCTTGCCTAATTATGAATAGAACAATATTGCTAAAATCAAAGTACTTTTCAAAACCCTTTTGATAATATATTAATACTTTAGGGGGAACTATCATTTTCTTGGGTGTCAACTGAACAAAGAAAACACTAAGTATTAACATATGCCAATCACAACAGAAATTAAAGTTACTCAGTGAGAAAACTGTCCAGACTTGTTAAGTCAATTTAAGCAGGTTAAGATTTGAAATCAGGGCTGGAGAGATGGCTCAGAGGTTAAGAGCACCGACTGCTCTTCCAGAGGTCCTGAGTTCAATTCCCAGCAACCACATGGTGACTCACAACCATCTGTAATGAGATCTGGTGCCCTCTTCTGTATACATAATAAATAAATAAATCTTTAAAAAAAAAGATTTGAAATCACTGTTCTGCTATAGTTCTTCAAAGAAAGGAAGGAAGGAAGGAAGGAAGGAAGGAAGGAAGGAAGGAAGGAAGGAAGGAAGGAAGGAAGGAAGAAAGAAAGAAAGAAAGAAAGAAAGAAAGAAAGAAAGAAAGAAAGAAAGAAAGAAAGAGAAAGAAAGAAAGGAAGAAAAGGAAGAAAAATTCTTAACCTATAGCACTAGTATGCTACAGAACACGGCCCAAACTGAACAGTGCTACTTGAAACAAACAACATTATGCAGTCTGTGCAGAACAAGTGAATGACGGCACCTGTTGAAGGTGACTGCAGGCCAACAACATTCACGTGCACCTCACCACCAGCTTGGAGGCGGTGCAAGTGCACGCACAGAATCTGGAAGCACCAAGGTGAGACTTTCATGGCAACGCTCACTTCACTGTCTGCACTTGGCCCACTTTAAAAGACAACCAATGAACACTTGGCAATTGGTAGTAATGCAGATGGTAACAGACGACATCTTTGAGCTGAAACTGGTATTTCTATCTTAACTTCCTATGATTGTTTGTGGATGTTTGTTTGGGTTTGCCCATGCTGTTCTACGGAGCTTCTCAAACAGAAGCTTCCTGAGTTACTGGTTTATTTATAGACAAGTTATCAGTTGTGCCTTGTAAGGCGTAAGGAAGGGTTTACTAACTGCCAGTTATAAGGGACTTCAGGCCTCTCTGAGTGGTAACTCCAGTTCCAAGGAGAAAGATAGGAGGACAGAGGAAGAGAAAACATTTGGGGCTAAATGCTCAACTGTGTCTTAGGAAGAATGGGTAATCTCTACTGGTACATACTTTAAAGAAGCAACATGACACAAATAAATCATGACTACCAGAAAACTGGCTCTTCTGTCAGGTAGGAGCTCTTAATTTTAAAGGGTGAAAGAAGCGTACACAGGAATAAGCATGTGTCAAGAAATGTACTACAGGAGACCTCTAATAAAGCTCCTAAGTCCTCAAGAATCCTAGTCTCTCTATTTCAGAATGCTTCACAGTTTCCAAGAGCTTCCATGTGGTTGTTTTCATTTGATCTTAATTTGACAACTTTGTGAGGTAGGTAGAGTAGATATTCATCTTCAATCTTCATTTTCAAACAAGGGGAGCTAGGCTCAAGGAGGCTGACTTGTTCAAAGTTGAAAACTAGCATATGGCAAAGCCAGGCTTCCCTCTCCAGAGTCTAGAATAATTTTTTCTGAGTGTGATTCTTGGATAGCCTGCTAAGTATCTTCTGTGTTTTTAGAAACACAGGTCTGTAAAATTCTACTGACTTACTGAGTAAGACTCTCCAGAGATGAGAATTGAGAATTCTGCATTTTATAATGGATAAAAAAGTAGGAAACAACAATATATTAGGTAACAATGTAAAGTGTATCACTGAGTCTGGCTAGATCTTCCCATGATCAAAAGTGATACCATCAGCCCATCATTAGGAGAAAGCGAGGTTAAAAGAATGGGCTTCAAGTCTGGCTAGCTAATAAATCACCTGGAAAGCTTCTGTTTGTTTTTAAAGCATCAACTCTCACCTGAGAGAAAGATGTTGGCTAACAAGAGCTCCCAGAGTGAGTGTTACCTGAAATCAGGGCTGGGGATCACTGTGTTTTCTGAATAAACACATTAGCATTTTCCAGAATTTTTCTTTCTGATCAGTTTCATACCCAATAAAGTTCACAGTTCATATTCTAAATCATTTAAGCTTTATAAGATAAAATGTCAAGTGTTTTTCACTTGGTATTTTTTAGATTAAAGGTATTCACAGAAAGAGTAACCATGCTCCACTTAGCTACAATGGTTTTCAAGAACCCAAATGAATCACCACTTTGGACTTAGATTATATATTTCAGATGTAAACAATGATTCAGAAACTGAAATTAGGAATGTGGGGCACAAGCAGTAGCCAACTGGCTACGGGGGAGTTCGAGTGCAGACAATCAGCTCACTATAGGAGGGCCTGGATATCAATGTCTGATGGCTTTGGCAAGGTCACATCTCACTGTAGAAAAATACAACAACGAATACAGAGAAAATATTTTGCCATTTTGTAATTTGTTTACCACTTAAAAACCCTTATAATGTGTGATGCTTATCTTACTGCATGCCTCCACAGAACATATCTGAACATGAAGTTGTCTATGAATCAATACAATTACCTAGGAGAAAAGATGGCCACAAATTAAATTTTTTCTATCATGCATATGGATATTATAAAAACATAGCCCATAAAAGTAATATTTACAAAAGTAAAAAACAATACAACTGCAGGGGAAATGCTCATCTCTGCCTTTACTCCAATGCTAATTCATCAACATCCTGAATATCTGTGGGGAAGACTATGGACTTCGAGAGTACCTCCCACAGGCCAACTGGACTTTTCTGGCACTTTGATCCTATTAGCTAATACCCTTGCTGGCTTATCACAGTCTTCTACAGTTTAAAAACAGTTCCTTTTTTTCACTCAGTGGAAATAAACCTACAAAGTCCTAGTATTCATCTGAGAAATAAGCCTTGCATAGAAATTTTCTTTAATTCTGAAACTTTGTTTTATTAACAGAGCTACCAGAATGTCATTTCACCACTAGTTCATATTATATGAAAGTTCACTACAAAGCAGTCACCACACATATAGGATTTTTCTAAATATAAAATAAGTGGGATTATAAAAATGCTTACCAGACAATCATCTCTTCACAACCTAGAAAGAATTATTTTTGTGATGACATGATTCTTAGTGTTTGGGATGTGTTTACACGCCAAGTTTGATGTGATATAAAAAGCAAAGATCTACCTTCTCAGTGGGCACACTCTGCCTGATTAAAAGCAGGATGACAGCAAGTTACGGCAGCCAGCCATGCGAAGACCAAGACTAAAACCCACTTTCAACAGCACAAGTTTCACTTTAGACGAGACTAAGCACTGGTCCCGTCCTCTTCGATAACACGGTTCATGCTGGTGCCGTGTGTGATGTGAGTCATGGGGTTGTTACTGAGGTCTCGGATGCTGCTGTGTCGTGACTGCTCATTGAGCCGATGAGAACTACTGTGCCTGGAGTGATCCGTCAGGCGTGACATGCTGCCGTGAGGTAGTCTCTCCTCCATTCCTCGGTAACTGCAGGGAGTGTACCTGCACAGTAGAGTGGATTTTAAAGTGAGTAGCTGAACACACCAGAAAGTAATGCTAATAATTTTCATTAAAATGCCTTAGTAATTGAAGTGCTCGGTAAATCAACAGTGAGAAGGCAGTAAGTGACGTGATTATTTAGAGTAATTTCATTATGCTGTAGAATTATCTGACATGGCTAACAGAGAGAATCCATGTAGGTCAGGATGAAGGCCCTATTCCCTGCAAAAGGGCAAACAGTAAATAGGTAAGCCTGACCCATTTGGAACTATGTTAAATACAGATCATTTTCTTACTCAAATATGTATCAAATACAGGGGGCTCAGAGAGATGAAGAAAGGGAACGAGGCACAGCCCTCAGACTGTACTTCTAGGTATAGTCAACAGTATGCAGACTCCAATTTCACTAAAAGACAAGGGTTGGAAGAGGGAATGAACGAATTGGAGGAGAAATGAAGACTTAAGCACCAGGGAATGAGCTGCTAACATTGGTGGCATCTGTGCCCATAGCATCTAGACGGACTAGTTACCAGCTGATCAGTCATCTGTATATGATCTTCCTTCTTTCCCTCAGGGTTTAAAGCTGTGAAGATGATAATTTGTAGAAATCATATCTACTTGGAAGTTGCATGCTGACACCCTATAACCAGTTCTCTCATCAGCAAATCCTTGTCCCCTAGCTGGGCTCTGCACACAGCTGGTTTTCCTACCCAGAAATGCAACTGTGGGCTGATCACATTTTCTTTTGTCACAACCCCGACTTAACGAACCACATCAGAGGCAAGAATATAAAAATACAAAAAACAATGACAATGAAAAAACTAACCTCAGCCACTGGGATGAGAAGTTATTAGCTCTAGGCCAGTCAAGGTCATGAAAACCAATTAGACTTTTTATTGGTCCATTTATAGAGCTCATACGGTATTTATCAATCTTTCTGGCTAAACAGTTGAGTTCTTTCAGGATAAGTACCATATTTCATATCTTTTTTAGGGGGTGGGGGTTCAAGACAGGTTTCTCTGTGTAGCCCTGACTGTCCTGGAACTCTGTAGACCAGACTGGCCTTGAACTCACAGAGATCCACCTGCCTCTGCCTCCTGAGTGCTGGGATTAAAGGTGTGGGCCACCAAAGGCCTTTTCTAAAATACTTTTTGTTCATATACTCACATACTCTTTTGGAAAACATAATTTAGGATAATAAAATTCAAAGAGAACTGAGTATACATACTTGATGACTTTAATGAACATGTTGCTTTTGTTTGTTTTTATAGCGTGGGGCATAAGAGGCCCTGGACTATAAGCCCTGCCTAAATATAATGTTTCTGAAAGTAAACAGGGCCAGGAATGTCTGTTAGGCCTATAATCCCAGCACTCAGGATGAGGAGACAAGAGAATTGAGAGCTCAAGGCCAGCCTGAGCAACATGGTGAGATCCTGTCTCAAATGCCAAGGGCAAGAGATAGATGCAGCACAGTTGTACAGCGCTGGCCTAGATAAAAGTTCACAGGTTTCATCCCCAGCACTGCATAGGAAAGAAAAAAACCATCTCAGAACATTGCAAACTATTTTGGGTTTTGTCTGTTTGCTTGTAGTACTGGGGATTAAAGTAAGGCTTTGGGCATACTGGGCAAGGGGCCTTCCATGGAGCAGTGACCCCAGTCTCATTCCACCCCCTTTTCTTTCTTTCTTTTTGAGGCAAGGTCTCTAAGTAGTCCTGGCTGTTCCAGACCTCACTATGTAGACTAGGCTGGCCTTGAATTTACAGAAATCTTCTCACCTAAGCTTCCCAAGAGCTAGGCTTAAAGGTAAGCACCACCATGCCAACCTAACAGTTATCAAAATAAATCATTATAAGCAGCTGAAGAGCTACTGTTTTAAAAATCACTCACCTACCTATCATAACTATAAAAAAATACCATGATTTAAGGTCAATCATTTGTAAAATTAAAAGATCTGAAAGGTTCATGAACACTACTGAGGTAGCTATCTAGTTTTATAGCAGTGCTTGTCAATGGACTTTTTCATTCAATTATAGTTTAAAATTGAGAAGTCCTTTGAAAAATAGTCTTTTAAAAACCTGTATCAGGGACCAGGCACAATGGCACACACACACCTTTAGTTCCATCACTCAAAGAGGAGGCAGAGACAGGCAGATCTCTACAAGTTCAAGGCCAGCATAGTGAGACCCTGTTTCAAAACAGCCCCCTCCTCAAAAAAAAAAAAAAAAAAAAAAAAAACCAACCCTATCTTTGTTTCAAATTTAAATAAAGAAAAAAATAATAAAGATGCTATCGAGGATTTCTATTGCTGTGATAAAACACCATGGTCAGGGAGTTACTTCAGCTTACAGTTTGTAGTTAGTTCATCATCCAGAGAACTCAGGGCAGAACCTCAAAGCAGGAACCGAGAGTTGGGGACTGACTGGTGCAGGGGTCATGGAGGAACACTGCTTACTGGTTTATTCCTCATGCTTTGCTCAGCCTGCTTTCTTATACAACACCTACCTGCCCAGGCTGGTATCACCAAAAGTGGACTAGGCCTTCCCCTGTCAATTACTAATCAAGAAAATGCCTGACAGGCTTGCCTGTAGTCCAATCTTATGGAGGGAGGTATTTTCTCTACTGAGAGTCTCTCTTCCCAAATGTCTCTAGCTTGTGTCAAGATGACGTAAAACTAACCAGGACAGATGTGTATGTAAATGTTCTTAAATTTTCTCCTATTAATGATGAAACACTTCAGCCAGGCATGGTGCACATGTCTGTAACCCCAGAGACTGGAAGGTGAAGGGAAGAAGATCGACCCAGCTTTGGCTACACAGTAAATTTCAAAGCCAGTCTGGGCTATAAGAAACCCTACCCTGTTTCCAAACACTTAAATTTACATTTAGAACCTAGAGACATTTACATTTTTACTGCATGTTTTAGTAAAATAATTGGAATGCTTGCAAATGCAAATACGTTACAATGGGCTTGTTAGAATCTATTTTAAAATTATTACTTTGCATAATGATTATTGTTCTTCAAACTAAATAGACTCCCTAATTTCCAAGTATGACTTGCCAGCTTTTACCTTTCAATGGCTTCCTAAGTATCAATTTCAAATAAACAGGGCAAATAAAGAAAGCAAATGTTTTAGTAATGATGGAAAAGTAATTTCAAAAATTAACAAACAAACAAACCAAGTCCTGTGTGGTGGTGCATATCTGTAATCCTACTTGGGGGATTGAGGCAGGAGGATTGGCAAGTTTGAGTCATGCCTGGGCAATGTAGCAAGATGCCATCTCCAAAAAAAAAGGACAAGGAGGCTGGGGAAATGGCTCAGTAGGTAAAGAGTCTGCTGTGCAAGCAGGAGGACCTGAGTTCACATGCAGAAACCTCCTAAAAGCTGGCATGGCTGTGCACACCTGTCCCTACTGCTGGGGAGGAAGAGACATCCAGGTTCCTGGAGCTCACCGGCAGCTAGACTAACCAAGTCAGTGAGCTCCAGAATCTCAAGAAGAAGAAGGACATCCAATGCTGACACACTGTATACAAACATATACATACATACACATGCACAAACAAGTACACACACCACACACACACTACAAAGGGCTGGGAAAAGAAATTTAATAGTAAAGTACTTGCTTACCATGTGCAAGGCCCTGGTTTAAGCAGGAATGGGAAGGGAAGAGAGAAGGGAAGAGAAGAAAAGAGGGCAAAGGGTGGAAGGGAGAAGAGCAGAGAACACTCAAGTCATTTAAAGTATATAAAGGGGGCTTCCAGAGGACTAGAGCTCAGTTCCCAGCACTCACACCAGGCAGCTCATAACTGCCTGCAACTCCAGCTCCAGATGTGACGCCCTCGTCTGCCCCACATACACACAGATATACACACAAATGGAGTCCTTCCCTAGTGTTGGGATGACAAGCACGTGCCATCTGTGCCTGACATTTTTATGTGTGCTGTTGGGACTGAACTCCTGTCCCCACCTCCAAAGGATACATTTTCAGAGGAAAAATTACATTGTATAATTACATCTGAGAAACATGACTATCACAGAATTCTAAAATATAAATATTCTGTCTATAAACAAATAGGAACTCACTATAAAGAAAACAAATTTAATTACAGTGTTTAATATAAATTGTATATGTAGGAATTGTCAAATTTCTGTACCTTTCAAAAGCCATTTAAACCAATGTGATTATATACCATACAATATGAAAATACATAATTTATATAGCACTGCATATAAAATGTAGTTTTAATATATGTTTAGACAAAATATTAGGATGGTCACTTTGCTGTTAAAAATATAGTAAGGGCACTCCAGAGTTGGTGAAAAAGCGATGATTTACGTTTTGATTCTCTTTACTATATTTTTAACTACCATTTTTGCTAGCATTCATCTAAATAATTAAATCAACTGCAGTTCCAGTAGTGCGTTATTATTCACTCCACTACTTTCCTTTGCCAGGTCACTTATGTGACTGGTCACTTGTTCCTAAACTTCTACCTACTTTCTTTTCTGGCTGTCCTCTCATCTAACTACCAATTACTTACTCTTTGAAGTAATGTTTACATGTAGGTGTATGTAGTATGGAGATCAATAATTATCCAAGTGGTGAATCAAAGTGAGTTCTGGGAATCTGTGACCCATGGCCAGGATACCTTGAGATAATAAGATGGCTTGAAGACAGCACTAATGTGCAGTTGAAGCCTGACTGAAGCAGAAGGAAGTCTTCATGAGATGGCTTTTGGATTACGGAAATCCTTGTTCAGACTTTTAGTTTCAATGTAGTCTTGAAACTTTTCACATCTGCCCTACAGTTCTGGGTATGGAAGAGAGTCCTATGTGTATATTCACTCACCCAGCTACAGGATGCTTTCAACAGACTCCACCCACATCATTTTGCTTCATATGTATGTATTGTACCTTTTCTATAAGGCTCTATGCTCCTAGAATATAGAAATTAAAAACCTTTCTTTTCTATATATTTATGCACAGAATGCCATATACAAACATAATACTATAATAATGTCTATTCACCACTGAAAAGGATGAGACTAGGATGTCAAATATCATCTATGGTGGTATTTTACTTGTACTGAAATGTGATTTTAATTGTATGTTAATAAATAAAGTTGCCTGGAGGTCAGAGCTATTAGAGCCATAGCAAGAGCGTGGCGGTGGTGGCGCACGCCTTTAATCTCAGCACTTGGTAGACAGAGCTAGGTAGATCTCTGTGTGTTCAAGGATACAGCCAGCAGTGGAGACACACGCCTTTAATCTCAATACCAACCATAGAAGACCTGGAAGTCTCTACAGATAGGCAGTGACGAGGCAGTCATGTGTTTGGGTTTACAACCAATGAGAAGGCAGAACAGAAAGGCTATAAAGACAAACACACAGGAAGTAGCTCCTTTTTGGAGAGCTCTCTTGGCTGAAGCAGGAAGGGTAAGGCTCTTAGTTCTGACCTCTTGGCTTTCTTCTCTGAATCGGCTCTGTGTTTCTTATTTAATAAGATGGTTGGATATATCTACAATCATCACTAAGAGTTCATAGATAAAGCATATTCAAAAAAAAAAAGAGAGAGTGCGAAGAGGAAGGGGAGGCATCTCAGAATTTTGAGATGTGGAGAGAAGATGAACTTGCTATGCTGAGAAAAGGTACCAAACCACATGGCAGAGTATAAATAAGAAATATGGCTTAATTTAAAATGTAAGAGTTTGCTAGTAACAAGCCTGAGCTATTGGCCGGCATTTATAATTAATAGTAAGTTTCTGTGTGGTTATTTGGGAGCAGCTTCCAGGACACAGAGAAACTCTGCCTATACACTATCTCCTTATCAGCATCTTAAACTAAGACCCCAATTCAATGGCTTCATTATATTCTCCTTTCTCAGGTTGTTTTAAAGTTCAAGTCAGACTTTATTTTGTAGTACTCAAAGTCCTGCAATAGCTTCTCACTGTCAGAGAAACCCAAATCCTCAGCATGGCTGCATCTCCTAGAAGTCCCAACACACACTATGCTCTGGTCACACCTATGCAATGAAACTTGCCTGCCTGTTCTTGTCTCTGTGCACACTGTTCCCTTGTCATTCATTCCCGAGTGTCTCCTCTGAATTCTATTTAAAGTGAAGTGCCATCTGTTGGGAAGCTGTTTCTAACTATCCATGATGAGGTAGATGGTACTCTTCTTTGAGATCCTACAGAATCTTATACACAATTTGATCTCTCTCTCTCTCTCTCTCTCTCTCTCTCTCCAGGTTCTACATAAGAGGGAAAAAAGAGTTGTCTTTTGCTATCTAGTTTATTCCATTTAATTTGATGTTCTGCAGTTCCACTCATTTTCCTGCAAAAGAATGATTTTTTTCTTCTTTGTAGCTAAATAAAACTTCACTGTGTACATGTGCTACATTTTGTTTATATGTTCATCTGTTGATGAAAATCTAAGCTGACTCTATAACTTGGCTATTCTGAACAGCGGTGCAATAAGAATAGGTAGAGGGGTGTGATGCTTTGAACGTAATTGGCTCCCATAATCTCATAGGGAGTAGCGCTATTGGGAGGTCTGGCCTTGTTGAAGTAGGTGTGGCCTTGTTGGAGGAATTGTGTAACTATGGGGGCAGGTTTTGAGGTCTCTTTTGCTTAAGCTCCATTCAATGTCACAGTCTATTCCCTGTTGCCTGCAAGATGTAGGACTCTCAGCTACTTCTCTAGCACTATGTCTGCCTGTATGCTTCCCACCATCATAATAAGACTAAATAAACCTGTGAAACTGTAGGCCAGTCCTAATTAAAGGTTTTCATTTATAAGAGCTGCCATGGTCATGGTATCTCTTTACAGCAATTAAAACCCTAACTAAGGCAGGGGGGTGTTTCTATAGTATGCCGACTTCGATTGCTTTGGGTATCTTCTCAGGAATCAAACGGTGAGTCATAAGGCAGCTCTATTTTTAGTGTTCTGAGGGAATTCCAAACTGATTTCCACAGTGGATGGAATAATTTACATCCTCCCGAGCAACACTCATCCCATCTCCTCCCCATCCTTCCAACATTTATGTTTGTTTTCTTAAAGAACAAAAATCTATCTTTCAAGTCAGCTGTCCCTCTCTCCCCACTGCCTCTCTACTCTCTGATAAACCCTCATTATCTCTCAAGTGACTTAATGCGGCAGCTCGTAAGCAATTTTTAGCTCTAGTATCCCAATCTCAAATTTAATGCGAACCTACATCCAGGCTTCCTTCCAGCCATCTCTCTGAAGCATTTTCTAAACTGTCTCCATGGTACCATAGTCACTCCTAGTCTCTGCTTCCACTGCACCTAATAAACAAGGGCTTGGTACCGGGTGCTAGGATGTAGCTCAGTGGTAAAATCCTTACTTAGCATTTTCAAACCCTGGGTTTAAACCCCAGCGTCCCACAAAATAGCAGGCTGACAAAGGGACTTAATGCCACATCTGCTAACTCCTGGTTATAACTAAGGCTACTGAGAGGAAGCTCGTCTGAGTACACACTGCCACAGGAGGTCTGAGCAGTGTTGTCACTTTAATTAAAAAGCCTAAAGCGTTTACTATCTGGCTCCTTAAGAAAACACTTCCATAGCCCTGGAATATATTTTGCTTTATGTTTATATTTTACTTTATGTGCTTATTAACATTAATAACTGCAACGTATCTGACACTGACACAGGCTCTGTTTCTAGTGAACTGGCACATTATCTCACTGAATTTTTATGACATCACGGAAGGGGTGGCTATTACGATTTCACCTTTATAGGCAAGGAAACTAAGTTTTATCATTCTAGACCTATACTCTTTAAGATTGACTTTTATTATTTCTAATTATATTTATGTGTGCATGCCTGCATATAGGTATGTGCATGTGAGTACAGGTTCCTGTGAAGGTGTTGGATCCTCTGGAGCTGGAGATGCAGATGGTTTGGAGCTGTCTGATGTGGGTGCTAGGAACTGAACTCAGGTCCTTTGAAACAGCAAGTACTTTTAGTTGCTAAACCATCTCTACAGCTCCTCAGATCCACATTATTTTGGGGGTGGGAGGGTTCAAGTCAGGATTTCTCTATGTAATAACTCTGGCCATCCTAGAACTCGATTCGTGACCAAGCTGGCCTTGAACTCACAGACATCCACCTGCTTCTGCTTCCCAAGGTGTGCAACACCACTGTTTGTCATATATTGTGTACCCCAATATATTGTGTACCCTAATAAACTTATCTGAGGATCAGAGGACAGAGCCAGCCACTAGATTAGACATAGAGGCCAGAGAATGGTGGCACACACCCTTAATCCTATCATTCTGGAGGCAGAGATCTGTCTGGATCTCTATGAGTTCAAGGCCACACTGGAAAGAGAGCCAGGCAGTGGTGGCACACACTTTTAATCCCAGCACTTGAGATCTCATGTCTTTGTTTGGGAAACACACACACACACACACACACACACACACACACACACACACACACACACGCCTTTAATCTCAGGAAGTGACATGGCTGGGTGGAGAATGGCATATAAGGTGTGAGGAGACAGGAACTAGGCAGCAGTTCAACTGAGACCCTCAGGGGGGAGGACTCAGAGGATTTCAGTCTAAGGATTCATGGAAACAGGATCGGGTGAGGAGTTGGTGAGGTGAGGTTGGCTATGGCTTGTTCTGTTTCTCTGATCTTTCAAAAAAGTTTATTAGCTGGGCGGTGGTGGTGCACGCCTTTAATCCTAGCACTTGGGAGGCAGAGGCAGGCGGATCTCTGTGAGTTCGAGGCCAGCCTAGTCTACAGAGCGAGATCCAGGAAAGGCGCAAAGCTACACAGAGAAACCCTGTCTCGAAAAACAAAAAAAAGTTTATTAGGGTACACAATATATTGGGGTATACAATATATCACCACACCACTGCCTGGCTAAATTCATCTTTCTAGACTGACCAGTCCTCCTTCCCACTCAGTGCCCTACAGTAACGTCATACTGTCTGTCTAAACCCCAAGTCCTTTGATTGGCTTTAAGTCCCTAATCTGGGACAATTATAACCAGAAAGTTAAGAAAGTTTAACAGTGTTCCACTTCTATTTCAGAACTGGCTCCTGTCCAGTAAACTAAGGTGTCCCCAGCACTTACCTGCCGTCCCGTGACCTGTGGAGGCTGCCATGGTAGCTGCTCACTTTGCTGTGGACACTTCCTGCTTTGCTCCTTTGATCATCCACCATGGCCAGCTGAGTTGAAGACGCATGTGTGGATGTTCCTTGAGTGGAAGTTCCTCTTGATTTTCGTATAATAGGAGTATTTGGGTCTCTCAGGAGCGACTGAGCAAAGTCAGGTTCCTGGAGCACCTGCCGGCTCTCATTCACTATCCTACACAACACAACAGGAAGTTTAAGATACCAACATTCCTATAGACCAACAAAATAATACTGGTGGATGATCGGCTAGAAATTAATTGTTCCCCAAATTAAGTCTTTGGGGCCAATTTGAGGTAACATTTTGACAGAGGACAGACTGCAACAAAAATCTCTGTCAAAAACTGGGCCTGATGCCAGAAATCCTAGCATCTGGGATGTTGAGCTAGGAGAATCAGAAGTTCAAGGTTATCTTCACGTTCAAAGGCAGCCTAACCTACATAAGACCTTGTGTCAAAACACAACAACAAAATAAACCCAATGCCATTCTGCTCTAAAGTGCTGTGACAGAGTAAGAAAATCAAGACTGTAGTTCCAATTTTGTGAGCACATAGTCGATCTCAGCAAGTAACTATCCTGTCTTTCCTTCATTTTATTTATGAAATGAAGGCTGATAAGTCCATTATTTCTAAGAAGTCCCTTTTAGCTAAAGACACCTGTGACCCTTTAGGTCCCAAAATATTTTTTTAATTTTATTTTTATGTGCATTGGTGTTTTTGTCATGGGTGTCAGGGTCTCCTGAAACTGGAGTTACAGACAGGTGTGAGGTGCTATGTGAGTGCTGGGAAACTGAACTCGGGTCCTCTAGAAAGCAGTCAGTGCTCTTAATCCCTGAGCCATCTCTCCAGCCCCCATGGTCCCAAAATACTTTTAAAAATAATTATAAGATAGGAAAAAGTTTTATTTCATGCTCTGCAGAAGTAATAATGGCTTCATGGTAACTGGATACAATTTTAACTTTCAAGAGCAGTTTAAGGCTCCATCTTGACTCTGCAGCAGGAACAGCAGCCTAGTGTTAGAACAAACCTGAGTAGTCAACCTTAGAACAAAGTAATATGAAAATTTAAATTAAGCAAATATTCAATGAAGTCCTAAACAATTTAAAGGGACAAATTGGGCTGGAGAGATGGCTCAGAGGTTAAGAGCCTGGCCACTCTTCCAGAGGTCCTGAGTTCAATTCCCAGCACCACATGGTGGCTCACAACCATCTGTAATGAGATCTGGCGCCCTCTTCTGGCCTGCAGGCATACATGCAGACAGAACATTGTATACATAAAATAAATAAATCTTAAAAAAATAAATAAATAAATAAAGGGACAAATTATCAAACGTAAAAGTTTTAAATGTTATGGCAGGATGGACAGTAGATAGATGTGCATTATGATGAACAAAGCAATAACTGAATTAACAAAAAATCAAATTAAATCACTGTAAAGTATCTGTGAGGATCAGCTAAAGTTAAAATTAAATGACGTAATTAAAAAAATCAACTCCAACATGTAAAGCCTTGATCATTTATTGAGGAAGTATGTGTAAGTTCTCAAATTAACAGGGCTGTAACAGTCCCTGTTGTTCTCAGTACTGGGTTGACAGGTGAAAACAGGTATTTGATGAGTCCTTTACATCTAGTCCTTTAATCCATTTAATGTATTCTTGATATTTATAATAGAGTACCAATAGATAAGTAAGTTCTTACAAAGAGAGAGTATGTCACCTCTAAAAGCAGCATCATATTTAATGAAAACACCAAGAACCACTAAAAATATTTTCTTTCCTCTAAGACAAGGTTTCTCTGTGTAACTCTGGCTGTCCTGGAACCCACTCTGTAGACCAGGCTGGCCTTGAACTCACACAGATCTGCCTGCTTCTGCCTTCTGAATGCCGGGATAAAAGTGTTGCCATCACCACCTGGCTAACCAGAAATATTTTCATTAAAAACAGGAATATGAATCTATCTATTACCACCACTCTTAATTAGCTCTTTCAATAACTTCAGACTACAATTAAGTAAAAGAAAGAAATTAAGGTTATAAACCTTTAATGTTCACTAAATTAGAAACGGAGCAATAGTCCATCTTTTCACATGTGTGGCAGACCACGAAAAGCCACGGAAAACTTCAAACAGAAGTTGAAGTTACTAATTCTTACACCGAGCAGCTGTGTGGCTGTGGCCAGGCATTTAAGCTGCTTAGTTTTCTCCTTTGAAAAGAGATGAGAATACACACCAACCTTCCCACGGAAGTCAGGGAGGCCAGGTAAATAGGAAGAGAAAAAGAAAACTGTGTGAATGTTTTACGACGAACAGAGAAGCATTTGTATGGCTCTACTGAGCCATTTTCTCAAAATCATATTTTCAGTTGTCTGTTTATTTATTTATTTGTTCCTAAGATAGAGTCTTCCTATCTTGCCCAGTATGGCCTCGAACTCCTAATCCTCCTGCCTCAGCCTAATCAATAACTAGGACTACAGGCACGAGCCACTGTGTCCAGCTAGTTTTTCATTTTAAAGTCATGCTTCTGTGCTAAACGTTACTAGTCACTGCTGATAGCTATAATCTTGTTAGAATACTTCTCCAAATCCAACACGCGCGCGCGCACACACACACACACACACACACACACACACACACACACACACACACACACACGGGCTGTTACTACTATGAGGACTCATTAACTTACTCTTTTTTCCTACGACCATGGAAAAAACTGGCCCATTCAAAACATGTCTTTTTGCTTCCAACCCAAAATATAGAGGGGATCCCGACTATGAGAGCCATCAGATACTTCATCAGAAAGAGAATCAGGTCCGGACGACTCATCTGAGTAACCTACAGGGAGGTAAAGAAAATCACCTTAAATATGTTCTTCTATTAAAGGCAAGTATAGAAATTATAAACGCAATAGACAACAGTGAAATCATGTTACAAATTTAGTATCTTCATTTCTAAAGTTCTATGGATAATCTTCTTGGATCCTCAAAAGAGCATCGAGTACTCTTAACTGAGCCATCTCTCTGACCCTAAATCTTTTATATTCTCCACTAATTTTCTGTCTTCCTTTTAGTTTTAGCAGAGATACACTAAACACTTAACGTGAGTGTGAACCTGCCAATTATCCTATCAACTGTCACTTTTATTGTGCTAGTAAAGGTGGATGCTCTAGCTACCTGTCTTACTTTATTAATGCTCTTTCTCCTTACATTCTGTCTAACACTGTTCATTAGCTCTCTTCTTCCCCATACCAATGTTTTCAAGGATTCCCCAACACCCTTTCATAGACTGCTTCCCCAAGTCCTATATTTGGGCCAGCTGTGCCGTTTAAAAGCAATGAGTAGTTCACCACTAAAATGAAAACTCCACAAAGATGAAGGTTCACTTAATCTCCAAGTGTTTTCTTTCCAGAGCCATAAGCAGTGTTCAACACATGACTGATACTCATAAATACATATGTATTTAAATATAACTTTTACTTTTAAAACTTTTTAGATAGGGTCTCACTGTGTATCCCTGGCTGATGCAGAACTCCCTATGTAGACCAGGCTGGCCTCAAACCCACAGAGATCCACCTGCCTCTGCCTCCTGAGTGCTGGGGATCAAGGGCGTGCGCCATGACACCTGGCTACTTATGCTTGGCTTTATCAGAAAGAAATTAGTTAAAAGCTTGATAGTGCTGGCGCATGCCTTTGATCCCTCATTCAGGAGGTCGAGGCAAGTGGATCTCTGTGAGTTCAAGGCTAGCCTAGTCTACAAAGCAAGTTCCAGGACAGTTAGGATCGTTTGTTATACAGAGAAACCCTGTCTCAAAAAACCAAAAAGGGGGGTGGGGGAAGAAAAGAAAAAAGGAAAAAAATTACAGTTAAAATTATTCAGCACCACATCCTCTTCACCAGACAGTGCTCCCTTCCGTAGCTACCTAGCTTTTGAAGTATTCAGAGTAATTTTCACAAAAATATAATATTATTTTATCATTACTAACTCTGCCTAGAGCTACTTAAGATTTCTCCCTTCAGGTTCCCTTCTTTTCCCACTGACACAATGCTCTTGGATGTCTTCGTGGGTATGGTATGCCAGTCCTTTGTCTAAAAGCATCTCTGTCCATTAACCTTGAGTGGACATACAGCACAGCCATGCTAATATTTGTTACTATCTTAAAGTCCACTGTCTGCAAAGTCCTGCTGCTGCTGGAGAAACCCCTGCTTTTACTCTGGAGACTTTTGCCTCTGGTAGTCTCTAATTTTGCATTCAATATTCCTTGTTGTCTTTTACTTATCACTAGCATTCTGATTGTTGTTTTAACCAATTTTGTTGTTGTTGTTGTTTTTCTCTGTGTAGCCCTGGGTGTCCTGGAACTCACTCTACAGACTATGCTGAACTCCAAGGCCTGGAATTAAAGGTGTACACCACCATGCCCAGCTTCAACATATGTTCTTAAAATATTTACTTATTTTATGTCTGTAGTGTTTTTCCTGCATGTATGTCCATGTGCCATCTGCATGCCTGGTTCCTACACAGACCAGAGGATGGCACTGGATCTCTGGGAACTGGACTGCAGGCTGTCATACAGGTGCTGGGAACTGAATCCAGGTCCACGGCAAGAGCAGCAAGTGCCATTTCTCTGAGCTGTCTCTCCAATCCCACAACACATTTTTGAAGGAAGATTTTCTTAAAATATTAATGAACAAAGGTATGTTTCATAAAAAAAAAGTGGACACATAGTTACAACAATGCTTGTACCTAACAAATGTTCAAAAATACGTCTCCTGGAGCACTGCTATCTCACAGGTGAGGCTGGAGAGATGTCTCAGCAGTTACGAGCACTTGCTGATTTCAGTTCCTAGCACCCATACTGGGGAGGGGGTGGTTATAAATGCCTGTAACTTTAGCTCCAGAGGATCTGACACCCTCTTCTGGTCTCCTCAAGCACCCACACATGTGTCATATACTCACTCAGACATATAAAAATAAAGCTTAAAAAAAGATACTCTGTGGTGAAATAAAACATGGAGACCATAACCCCCTCTTGAAGGATTTTTTACATTAGTATGCTGAAATTTCTGAAAGGTCCTGGAGTAAGAAAACTGTTTACTCATTTTTTTTTCTAAGCCGGTAAGACACTGAAGAGTTGGAAAGGGCAAATTCTAAGCATTGTCCTACAGTCTATGAGCCTATTCATCTCAGAAAAATCTTCTTTTTATTTATTGTTTCTATTTTAAAACAATGTCCTCTAACATGGGAAACCCTTGAACTAGCACACATTCATTCTCCCTCTGGTCCACAGCCTGTTTTTTTTAAGACAAGGTTTCACTCTGAAGCCCAAGCTGGCCTTGAACTTGTAGTAATCCTCCTCTGACACCTGAGTGCACAGCACAAGGGGGAGCTACCACACAAGCTTGGCTCTGAATTATCGCTTCTCCTGCCTTAACTTCCCAAGTACTAAGATTAGAGGTGTGTGCCACCACATCCTGGCTGGAAAAACCGCAGTTAAGGAGACACTAATTTTTACATCTAATTTTGTTGTCTTCTCCATGATTTAAAAATCCACCAAACCAATTAACATATATATTGACCATGGTTGTATGTATCCAGAGAGAGCGATGGGAAGGGGAATCCCTACAGAGGTAGAGTACAGCAAGAATGAAGTGGCTAAGAAATACGCTTCAAATCACATTTGCTTATATCCAGTGAGTGGTCAAATGAGGACTGACCAGAAAAAAGATATTTAACTGTAGAGAGGTGATTTAATTCTGTAATACAAAGAGGGGCTAGAGAGATACCTCAGAAGTTAAGAGCATTGGCTGTTCTTCCAAAGGGCTTGGGTTTGATTCCTAGCATCCACATGGTGGCTCACAACAATCTATAACTCTAGTTCTTGGGGATCAGATGCCCTTTTCTGACCTCCCTGGGCACTAGGCATACACACACAGACACATATGCACCAAAACACTCATCTACATAAATAATAATAATAATAAAGAAATTTAAATAATACAATGAGGAAGACATGAATAATAACTTTAGAAAATAAACTAGTAAAGCTGTAAACAGGAAGTGCAATGGGAGAGCTCAACAGAAATCCCATAATTCCTAGAAGTGTTGCAGCTGTCAAGTACTGGCCTGAGCAATATGTCTCCAAAAATCACTTGAAAAGTGAAGTGCCTTGCACTTGTGCCTATAAGGGAATGATCAGCTGAGGTTGGAATACTCATGGACTTTGTGTAAGCCCTTCATTTTGTAGATAAGGAATCAAAATGATCCACCTTAAGGTGAAATTTATTTGGACCTTCAGTCATTTAAATTTTGAGTGTTACTATGTTCCGCAGCAGATGAGACAGAAAATTCTGTGCCCTTGTTGAATTTCCATTCTAGGGAGAGCTAAGGTAGAATGCTAATACACAGGGAATTAGGAAATCTTAGGCTTTCAGGGAGCAATAAAGTAACTAAAGCAAGGCGAGGAGCAAAGGAGAGAAGAGTATTTGGGGTATGAAATGATAGAGGAGGATTAGATACTATCAGAACGGCCAAGGTCTCTCCACAGACATGACACATTGAGTGAGTAGGGGTTGAGGGTATATTCTGGAGTGCAAGTATTTCAAACAAACATTGATAATGATAATTCTAAGGAAAATGTGTTACTCTTGAAGTAAAGCAAAGTGGCCAGTAAAGCTAGAGCCGGCTAGAGCCGAGCATGCAAGGAGGAGAATGGCAGGAGACACAGAGAAGTAGCAGGAATCGATGATGTCTGGTAAGAATATAAAGTTTTTGTTTTGTTTTGTTTTTCAAGACAGGGTTTCTCTGTGTAGTTTTGGTGCCTGTCCTGGACCTTGCTCTGTAGACCAGGTTGGCCTCAAACTCACAGAGATCCGCCTGGCTCTGCCTCCCAAGTGCTGGGATTAAAGGCGTATGCCACCGCCGCCTGGCAAGAATACAAATTTTATTCCAGTACAACAGAAAGCCATTGAAGGGCTTTGTTCAAAGAAGTAACCAAGATCACGTATGTTTTAAAACATTATTATGGCTACCATACTGAGACAAACTGTGAAAGAGTAAGATGCAAGCAGAAGGCCACTGTGCAAGTAGATGAATGCTTGGTCAGGGGAGGAAGAGGAGGCTATACAAAGCTAATGGGTTGAATGCAAAATATGAGAGGAGACAAGGCTCGCAGATGCCTCCCAATTAAGTGTCTAAGCAACTGGGGGATGCAAATACCAATCAGAGAATGGGGGGGGGACTGGGAGTGAGATGCAGGAAGCAGGTTTTAGGAGAAATATTAGGAGTTCTAAATTAAGCTTGGAAACATCATGCAAATGGGCATTCTGGAGCTTAGACACATGTCTAAAACATGGGGAGACTAAGACTATCCAGAAAGGGGAGGTGGAGAAAGCACAGACGAGAAGTCCTACTTTCCAAGTTCTTTCTTCCAGTGTTTTACACGCTGTATAGTACTACTGTCTTTTATAAATCAACATTGCTCACATAATAGAAATGTTTAAATTAAAGGGACGGAGTGCTAAAAACAAAATCAGTAATACCCAAAGCAACCACAAAAACCTTCAGTCATGCAAGCAGCACACAGGAGATTTGAAGGAGAGCAGGGAAGAAGCACTGAACAGTGTATTGCAAGATTCCAATTAAACCCAAGATTCCAGGGGAAACAAGTTAGCACCCGTGGATGGCAAGGTTAAAGCAAGACAGCGACTCAAGGAGTCCAGGACACCAAGAAGAGGATGGACAAGTGACCGCTGTAGAAGGGGCTTCCGAGAGAAAGAGCCCTGAGGGTGGTCATAAACAGACACACGGGGCAAAGCCCTCAAACAAATGTGTCGAAATAA